GGTCTGCTACGTAGTTTGGGCTGAGCTTGAGCACTGTGAATCCCAGGCTGGCCTTAAACTCATGGGGATCCTTCTGCCTCAGCCTCCTGAGTGGTGGGATTATAGGCATGTGCCACCATGCCCTGCCTGGCTGTCATTATTTAAAGAAAAATGTGGAAAATATGTACTTTTTTTAAAAAAAAGCAAATCCAGAATTCATCTTGGTTCTGAGCTCTATCTAATATAAAACCTAAAATTGTGGAATTTATATGAGTACACCAGATTCTCTAATTTTGTGTTTTGAGTTAACCTTAATGCTGTAACTATAGTTTCTCATTCCTGTGTGTGCTGTTTAAAATTCAGTGGTTGTAAAATTTTTTCTGTAACCAGGTTTGCTGTAGTATAACTTGCAGTTACTATATTTTTTGAGATAGGAATCTTGCTCTGTAATTCTGGCTGGCCTTGAACCTCACTATGTGCCCATTCTGCTCTTGAACTCACAGCGATCCTCTTATCTCAGCCTCCCAAGTACTGGAATTACAGGTGTGTGCCACCATGCCTGGCTTCACAATTACTATATTAATAAAATGACTTATGACATGCGTGGAAGAGCAAAGCAAAATGATTTATTAAAGCCAGGAATTGGGCTGGGGATTTAGTTCAGTGGTTTTGCCACCTGCCTTGCAAGCACAAGGTCCCAGGTTCAATCCCTAGTACCAAAAAAACGTCAGAAATTGCCGGGTGTGGTGGCACATGCCTGCAATCCCAGTATTCGGGAGGCTGAGACAGGAGGATCACTGTGAGTTCAAAGACCAGACTGGGCACATAGTGCAGTTCAAGGCCAACTGGAATTGCAGAGCAAGACCCTGTCGCCAAAAAATGAACAAATGAACAGACAAAAAAACTGGTCAAGCCAGAAGTCTAAGGAAAACAATATTGTCTTACTTTACAGCCTGCCATATTATACTATTTCTAAAGAGGTTTAAGTACAAAGTAAATTTTTAAAAGTCTTAAATGGAAAGATATAGTTTATAGGGAAAGGTAGAAGGCCAACTTTTAAAATACATTAGGGTGATTTACAGCAGGGAATTTAAATCTTTTAGACTTCTAAAAGGACTGCTCTGTTGCCTTGTTTTTTATTCGGGTTTTTTGAGACAGTCTCACTATGTAGATCAGGCTGCCTTTGAACTCATTAGGTAGCCGTTACTAGACTCAAATTCATGGCAGTACTTCTGCCTCAGCCTCCCGAGTGCTGGGATTACAGGCTTGCAGCACTACACTCAGCTCTGTTGCTTTATGTTCATGACCAGAACAATTTTTTCTGAGGGTGGATTCCTACTCTTTTCTAGATTGCAAAAGTGGAGAAGCTCAAACCACTTGAGGTGGAGCTACGACGCCTGGAAGACCTTTCTGAGTCCATTGTTAACGATTTTGCCTACATGAAGAAGCGAGAGGAAGAGATGCGTGATACCAATGGTGAGAGGAAGGCAGCTCTTCTTTCTAAATAAGTGACCCAGAAAGACAGAGTCCCCAAACATAAAATTATGGGAGTAAACTTTTCTCAGTTTTGCACATGTGGGGGGTATAGGGGAAAATCATTTGCTTCAGTATTATTGCTAAAAGATAAATCAGGCTCATTAGACTTTAAGGAGAATGGAGTTTTATTCTGTGATACGCAGTTGGCATACTGACAGTTGGCTTATAGTATATCAAGTTGATAGCACTAATCTTTGTAATTTTTAGCATTTATAAAATAGAATTGATTGATTGATTGATTGTCTAAAACCCTCCTCTCAAACCTAGCATTAATCAATTGCCTTTTCCCCAGGGCAGCTGCTGAGGCTTACTTCATTACCCTTACAATGCTTTTTTGTTTTTTAGAGTCAACAAATACCCGGGTCCTGTACTTCAGCATCTTTTCAATGTTCTGCCTTATCGGACTAGCCACTTGGCAGGTCTTCTACCTGCGTCGCTTCTTCAAGGCCAAGAAGTTGATTGAGTAATGGAGACGCAGTCAGTCTCCTCCCCACTGGAATCCCAGCCAGCAGAACATCGCTGGAACGTGCCTGGCCCAGGGCCTCCGACCAACAGCACCATCAAGGCACGTTGGCTCTTTCTTGCCAGAACTGATCTCCTGGTGTGGGAGGACAGGGGGTACCACCTGCACCCAAAAGTCAATGAGGGACTTCTTTTAACTTGGTAGGATTTGAATTGCTTTTGTAACAATAGGACTGTTATTAGAGTCACCTACAACAAAAAAGAGAGGTTACCTAGATAATGCCAAAGCCAGCATTCATCCTGGGTTTCCTCATGTGATCAGTTTGAACCATTTGCTTTCCTTCTCCCACTTGCTCACCAGCTTGGGCTTTCATTCTAGTTCTTTTGATTTGTATGATCACATGGGACTTGTTTCATACTGTTTGTGATCTTTGGGTTTTCCTATGAAAACACCATGAGCTTTGTCTTTGCCCTTAGCCAAAAAGTTTACATAGCTTCTGGTGATACTTTTCATAATTTCATGTCTCTTTTAAAAAGGTCATGGATGTGACACCTCATAAAAAGGAGGAGTGAACTGAAGATAAACTCTTAAAGAAAATCTCATTTTAGATTTATAATATTTGTGCTAAACTGCTTGAACCTTGTTTATGTTACTTCTATGCAATTTCATCATGTGTAGATTCATATGACCATCGGAAGAGACAGTACAATCCCATCACATACGTCCTTCATTCTGCCCTCATAGAGCCACAGCCACTGTCCATATGGTACCCTTTCCCCAACCTCAGGCAACTGTGAATCTGTCCACTATCTCCATAATTTTGCCATTTAAGAAATGTTACATAAGTGGAATCATATAGAATACGACCTATTGGGATTGACATTTTTCATTTAATATCATTCCCAGGAAATTTATCCAAATTGTGGCATGTATTGATACTTTGTTCCTTTTTATTGCTGAGTAATATTCCATGGTTGTGGATGTACTGAAGTTTAAACATTCATTCACTAAAGGACATACAGTTTGTTTTCAGTTTGGGGCCCTTCCTAATAAAACTTTTGTGAGCATTGTGTATAGGTTTTATATAAACATGAATTTTCGTTTCTCCGGGATAATGCCCAAAAGGGTAATTGCTGGGTTGTGTGGTAAGCATGTTTAGTTTTGTACAAAACCTCCATATTTTTCCAGAGTGGCTGTACCATTTTACATTTCCACTAGCAGTGTGCCACTATGCAGTCTCCTCATTCTTACCAGCTTTTGATGTTATTACTTTTTTTTATCCATTTAAATAGTATAATATCACAGTTTTAATTTGTATTTCCCTAATGGTTAATGATGTTGAACATCTTTTTATGTGTTTATTTTCCATCTGTATGTCCTCTTCTGTGAAATGTGTCTTTTTTCCATTTTCTAATTGGTCATTTGTTGTTTTTACTATTGTAATTTGAGAATTCCTTATATATCCTAGATACAAATCCTCTATCAGATATGTGGTTGTTTGGATTTGTAACATAACTTCTACTGAGGAAAAATAAGTAAATTACCACCTCTTTTTGCATGGCCAGTCACTGAATTCATTCCCGCCCTCATGTGTTCTATGTAGAAAATTAAGATAATGTGAGGTATAAAATAGACATCTGGGAAGGCTATGGAGAGAGTAAATATTAGGAAGTATATGAAAGCAAAGCCAAGAATAACTCATGGGAGTTGGAGGTGCCTAAAGCCAATACCAGTGTAAAAAGGGAAACGCTGGGACTGGGCCTGTCACACAGTGGTAGAGAGCTCTGTTGTGTAGCATGTTCCAAGCCTTGGGTCTGATCTCTAGCACTGCCCAAAAAATGTGGGTAAAAATGAACATGTTCATAAACAGTTGGGAAAATAATATCTCTTGAAGTCTTTCCCACTTCTTTAATCTCTTTTTAACCTACTGACTGTTACAGGACTTGTGTACTTGCAAGTGGCGAGAATTACAGATTTAAAGCCACATGACTTGCATTGAAGAAAAAAATATTGAAAATATCAAAGAACACTATTGTGTTAACCTGGATAAAAAGTATGGAGGTGAAGGGGAGTAGTTAGTATAATAGTATGCTTTTAAAATCTCAGGCTATTTTGTTAATATTTCAGTTACTGTGAATCCAAACATTTTTTCTCCACCCTTTGACCCTGTAAATCCCTCTTGTGGAGTAAAAGTGGTTTTCTCATTACTTGTGCAACATTGCCATCTGCTGTTAAGAAGTGATAGGTACTGCTCCTGTGAAGTTAACAGTAGGCACAGCAGATGTGAAAATCTGTCACATTAACGTATATTAAGCGACAGAGGATGCATCCAAATAGGGAAAAGAATAAACAAACTTGTATCTTCAGATCCAGTCTGGGAGGTTTCAATGTAAAACCCTAGTCTGTACCATTAGGCTAACATGAGACTTTCATATTTCTGACTGGTGCCTTCCCGACTTGTAGAAGCAGTGAAAGCTACACTGTTAGTTATGATCTTCTGTGCTGAAAAATCTCAAGAAAATAGAAGATAATATTTTGCTCATGTTTGTTTTCAATTCTAACTGTAACTTGAGGTAACTGAAATTCTTCTCTGTCTCTTTTTCTCATGCCAAAAATATCAGTTCAGACATTTGTGCTTTCTTTTCTTCTTTTTTTTTTTTCCTTTTGAATTAGGGTCTCACTACGTAGTTCAGACTGCCCTGGAATTCACTGTGTAGTCCAGGCTGGTCTCAAACTCCTAGCGATCCTCCTGCCTCAGCCTCCCAAATGCTGAGATTACAGGCGTGCGCCACCACGCCTGGCTGACATTTGTGCTTTCTATGTATAAGTTAATTGATGGTAAACCTTGATTTTTATCTAAAAAGTAAAAATATTTGCTTTTGATATCAGGCTAATACCAGAGCAAATCAACTTTAGGAATGTTATCTACCTTCTTCCATTTTTAGTACAATGCTTAAAATTATCTGTATGAGATAAAGGAGAATAATATAATTTAGGTGTGCTTTTTATATGTCATGAACCCTGTCAAAGCCATTCTTCTTTGTTTAATGGGAAGAAGCATGCGGATTTATACAGGTGCACTTGTAAGTGTTGGATTGGGAATTTTTGTGTAAATTTTCTCAAATAAAGGCTAGCAAAGACCACTTTAGACGTATTTTTTGTTATTCTTGACTACCTCTTTGTCTGGATTAGCAACAATTCCTTCGTATTACTCAATTTTAAAGAATAGCAAATTACACCTGATGAGTAGAGGAAAATATACTATCCTTAATTTACTCCAGATGAATAAATTCCATATGAGCTAGTAAAAGCTTATATTTTTATTAAAAAAATGTATTCATACTTAATTACATGTTCTCACCAAGCATGGTGGCGCATGCCTGTAATCCCAGCACTCAGGAGGCTGAGGCAGGAGGATCGCTGTGAGTTCGAGACCAGCCTGGGCTACATAGTGAGTTCTAGGTCAGTCTCAACTACATAGCGAGACCCTGTCTCAAAACACCAAAAAAAAAAAAAAAAAAATTACGTGTTCTCAGAAAGACCAAATAGGTTTCCATAAGACAAGCATTCTTTGTGCTTTTTTGGAAACTGCTATTGGAATTATTCCTCCAGAGAGCCTTTGCCCTTGCCCTGTGTTCCTAAAACATCCCTCCCAGTTTAGAATCCTTTTGAACTTGTCTGTCACATTTATGCAAAATCTACCCTAGGAAGTATAGGCCATTTTCTCCTTTTCATTTAATAGTTAACATTTTTCCACGAAGCTTCTTTCTGAGCCAACATGAAATGCTTTGCATATTCACTGGCTGGCCTCTTACCTATCCTTTACCTCCATTCTCAAAAAAAAAAAGAATTTATTAGTGAATCCATTTTAGTGAGTCCAGCTTAATAATGGTTCTTCATATTTGGGAATAAGTATTTTAACATCAAAAATGCTTGTTAGTGATTTTTTTCCCCTGGTGCTAGAGACTGAACCTAAGGCCTCATGCATGCTCAGCAAGTGAACTCTGACCCCAGACTAATGTTTACTTTTAGACAACATAAATAATGAATTCAGCAAAACTTGTTAATGAGTTTAATAGTCTCAGTGGTAAATTATTCAATTGTCCCCTGTGCTATGTATGGTGTACTAGAGTGGTATTCCATTGTTAGTCACATGTATAATTTTTAAATTCCTAGAACCACATTAAAAAGGTAAGATGAAATACATTAATTTCAATTTTAATAATATAATCCACTTTGCATTTTACAGCTACAGCAGTCTCCATTCAGAGGAGCCACAGTTGAAGTGTTCAGTAGCTACTACATTTAGCTAGTGGCCATGTAGCAGACAGTGAAAGTATAAACTGCCAGTTCTTTGATATAATCTTTACAGTAACTCAGGGGTCCTTGTTAGTTATTCACAGTGGAAACTTCTGCAGTATAGCCTGTTATTCATTTGTTAAAATATGGAAATAATCTGGGTGTGGGGGTTGTTTGTTTGTTTGTTTGTTTGAGAAAGGGTCTCACTAAGTTGCCCAGGCTAGCCTCAAACTTGCAGTGATCCTCCTTTCTTAGCCTCCCAAGTGCTGAGATTACAGCCATACACCACCACACCCGACCAGGAATACTCTGTTTTGACCACATGTATCTTAAAATCAGTTATACCTTTAAAATAAACATTATTTATGGTCTTAGTAAGAATATTCAAAGTCAGATCATTAATTTTAGTTATATCCGATACAACAAAGAGGTTGGCATTCAGAAAACTCTAAGATGTAATAGGACATTTTTCTATTAAGCCCGTGATATCTAGGTATTGTAACTAGAACAATACACAACTTAAGTCAAATTATAGAAAACCTATCTAGTTTTTCATTGTACAAGTACTGGAAAAACGAGTTTTTAAGCTTTAGCTGAAACCTGTTAAGCTTCTCAGAATTAAAGTCAACACTTCTGCTTTTAAGTAGTCATTTTTTCCATTCTTTCAACTAAAAAACAAAACAAAACCCACTGAGCACCTGTTCTGTTTAAGCCAAGCTAAACTATAGAGTATATGCAGAATAATAAAAGGCTATCAAAGTGCCTTCTAAGTAGTAGATGAAATGGCCACTACCTGGAATTTTTTTTTGGGGGGGTGGTTTGAGACAGTGTCTTACTATGTAGTTGATACTGACCCAGAACTCACTATGTAGCCCAGGCTGGCCTCGAACTCATGAGGATCTTCCTGCCTCAGCCTCCTGAGTGCTGGGATTACAGGCATGTGCCACCAGGCCCAGCTAAGAACTTATATTTTAATAAGATGGGAAACAGAGAAATGGACAGATTCCTAGATAAATATGAATTACCAAAGCTGAATCAAGAAAATAATAAACATTCTAAAAAACCAATATCGGTCAATGAAATTGAAAATGTAATTAAAAACCTACTAACTTCAGGGGCTGGCATCATTCTTGGAGCCCCTTTTTATATCTAGCCTAAGTTTTTTGGGTTTTTTGGGGGGATGGTTTGTTTTGTTTTGGTTTGGTTTGGTTTTTTGAGACAGGGTCTCACTATGTAGTTGAGACTGACTGGAACTCACTATGTAACCCAGGCTGGTCTCGAATTCACAGTGATCCTCCTGCCTCAGCCTCTGACTGCTGGGATTACAGGCATGCCCCACCACACCAGGCTTGTCAAACTCTTAATGAAATTGAAAGGGAAGTGATACTCCCAAATTCATTCCTAGAAGCAAGCATTACGCTTACAGCAAAACCAGAGAAGTAGCTAACCGAAAAAGAGAATTACAGGCCAATCTCCCTAATGAACATAGATGCAGAAATCCTCAATAAGATACTGGCAAACAATGCAGCAAATCATTAAGAAGGTTATACACCATGACCAAGTTGGAATCATCCCAGGGATGCAGGGATGGTTCAACATATGCAAATCAGTAAATGTAATACACTATATTAACAGAACCAAGAACAAAAACCATATGGTCCTCTTAAGAGATGCAGGAAAAGTGTTTGACAAGGTTCAATACCCATTCAAGATAAACCCTACAAAAAAATGGTATAGATGGTCTTCATCTCAATCTGATAAAAGCCATCTATGACAAACCAACAGCCAAACAATACTAAGTGGTCAAAACTGAAAGCTTTCACTTTAAAATCAGATACAAGAGAAGGATTTCCACTGTTACCACTCCTGTTCAATACAGTTCTAGAAATACTAGCCAGAGCACTTAGACAAGAAAGAAAAAAGGAGTAAGGATAGGAAAGGAAGAAGTTAAATTATTGTTTGCAGATGACTTGATATTCTACACAGACCCCCAAAACTCCACCAAAAGACATATTTGGTAACCAAATTTAGTGACATAGCTAGATATAAAGTCAACACTTAAAAATCAATAGCCTTCCTGAACACCATTAACAGAGAAATTAGAGAAACAATCACTTTCACAGTACACCCAAAAAAATGAAATACCTAGGAATCTAATGAAGAAAAAGTCCTCACATTGAACACTACAACACTCTGAAAAAGGAGATTGAAGAGGATATCAGAAAATGCAAAGATATCCCTTGTTCTTTGGTAGGAAGAACCAATATAGTGAAAATGAACATACTTCCAAAATTGTTATAGAGATCTAATACAATCATGATCAAAATTCCAACAGCGTATCTCACAGAATTAGGAAAACAATCCTAAAATTCATTTGGAACCAGAAGAAACCTAGACAAGCAAAAGCAGTTCTGGGCAAGAAAGGCAAGGCGGGGTGCATCACCATCCCAAAATGTCCCTCAGATGGATTTCTTAGATCTGAACCTCCTCTTCACTCGCTGATGCTCAGTGCTGCCTCAGCATCTCTTTTTAGAATATAAATTGCCTCTCAACTGGTCTCCTTGCCTCCACACTGTCATGCACAGTGTCATCAGAGTTGTTTGTAAAATATGATTTGATCATTCTAAGGTGACTATCTTTATTTGATCTGGACATTTGGGCAAAAGAAGGTTATAGTAATTATGCGTATGAAAGATAAACTGGGACTTCCCTACAAAAATGGGTCATATAGTCACTAGTCATAATCTTCTGCTTAAAATTTTCCAACTTTCCATTGCCTGCAGAAAACATCAAACCCTGTCAAGTAATGAGGTTGTATCTTCTGTTTCTACTTCACATGTGTCCTGGGCTCCTCCCACATGAACTCCATCAAATCTTGCTCTTTTGTGGCTTTGAAACCACGTTGCTGGGTTTGACTTCCTAGCTAATCTTAACTTTCTGTGTCACAATAAGCAAGTTAGTCTCTCTGTACCACAGCTTCTGTAAAATGGGAATACAGTAACATGAAGATCAAGTACATGGAACACCTTTAGCCTGGTGCCCAGAACATAACATTGAACAAATGTTAGCTGTTATTCTTGTGATGTAGATCGTCTTCCCACAATTTTAGAAATTAAAAAAGTTTGGAGAAATGAAGTTGCTCGAGGTCACATAATCGATGAAGCAAAATTGTTCACTGTATTCTAGTTCTCTTGGTGACTTGCAAGCAAGGAGCATCTTACTGCAGATTCTTCCTTCCCCCCAATGTCTGGCATCCAGTGTTCTAAGAATGCGTCAAGAGATTAGATGATCAAAGATCTGGGAAAACACATAGGAGAATGTTGAATCTGGAAAAAGAGAAGGGAGAGAAGTAGAATGTCAGGAGGACTGACTTAAAATATTTTTGGAGTTGCAAGGAGGGACCAAGGGTGGCCCTAGGGGGAAAAAAAATGGGCCCACTGACTGAGATGACAGTATTTCAGCTTGCTATAATCACTATGAACATTTCTTCAAACCAAAAGAGCTAATGTTAGGAGGGGCTGCTTCCCCATTCACCCTCTTGGAATAGGCCTGAAGCTAAGATGAGATTGCACGACCTCTGGACCTCAAAGCCCTATGGGGACCTGGCCAGGGATGTAGTATACAGAGCCCAGGGGGCGTCCCATCGCTGACTCTGGCAGCCCTTCAGTTCCGGGGACTCCCACCAGGCGCCGGCCAACCCCAGCCGAAGCCAAAGGCCCCCCGCAAACCCAGAGGCTGTAAACCTTGGAAGCAGGATTAACCAAGTGGATACGAGAAGGGGGAGGTAACCTCCTTCGTTGGACCGGAAATACCGATAACTACTTCCGGGTCAGGGGGCAGAAGCCACCATGGAACCTCTTTGGGTTGCGGGACTGGCGGAACCGCGGGCCGGTGTCTGAAGCGAGAGAGCCGCTAAGCAGCCAGTGCCTCCAGGGATACGCAGGCCGTCCTTGGAGAGCCACGGCTGCCGCCATGTCGGTGCTGGGCGAGTACGAGCGACACTGCGATTCCATCAACTCGGACTTTGGGAGCGAGTCCGGGGGTGGTGGGGAGTCGGGCCCGGGGCCCAATACCAGTGCCGGGCCGCGAGTCGG